TATGTTATAAAGTTAAAGATACTAACATTAATAAGGTGAGTCTAAGAGTCTCGTGTTTATTTGATGGTAATTTCACATTTCTTGTTTGTATGAAGGCTAAATACAAATAAAAGGTGAACATTAATTTATTTGTACCATTTTTATTTCTAAAATATTATATAGTTTTATAGGAGGAGGTTTCATAGACTTGGCAAATTCATTTTTCTGAAGTGTGTAGGTACAGACATCTGATGTGGGCGTTCTTGGCAGTTTTTCGGAGGCTTTTTAAAATATTGTTCATATCGATATCAGAATTATATCGTATCGATCGAAATTAAGAAATATAACGTGATAAAAAATTTTTCCCATATCCATATATTTCTATATATCTTGATCCATGCTTAAATGGCCAGTCACAAATAGTCTCAGCTCAATTATTTGTTATATTCTGCTCTCTAAGCCTTCCTTCCACATAAAACAGCAGAAATAATCCAACAGACATGTCGTTCACCAGGCCAAGCACCTACGGATACGAATAATCAACTTTCCAACCCCCCACCGAAGGAATCATGTTTACGAGAGTGCAGCAGAGTGGTTATGTTTAGGAAACAGCCCTTCTGTGGTTTTTAGGGAAGTTTTCGGGGCACGGAGCTGTAAGTTGGACTAACCGGCTTTAAAGAAAATTTACTTCATAAATCGTCAGCAAAAGTAGCAGCTCAGTCTCTTCCTGCCTGGCCCGGGGCGCCTCCGTCAGCTCCCATAATGCATTTCTGTCTTGTTTAATTTTACGGTTGCTATTCCATAAACACAGCAGAGACGGTGCAAGTGTCTCTCCAGGTCTTTACGACATGGAGTGGAAAAACCATCCAGGTCACATTTTAACCCCGAAAATATTATATATATAAAATAATAATTAATTACAATTTAATGTAATAAAAACAAATGTAAATATTAATATAAATATTAAAATCCATTCAAATTAAATTATATATACACACTTAATTTTAATAATCATTCGTTTTTTTTATTTAATAATATTCTAATTATTATTATAAGTCATTTTGGATAAAAGTGTCTGCTAAATGCATAAATGCAAAATGTAATCAAAATCTTCATTATTACTATTATTATTTTGTTGTTAATTTAGCTAGTTTACCTGCTCGACTCCAACTCTTTGCTTAATTTTTGCATAAAAATACCTATGTTTAAGTATATATTCATAGATTGTGTTGGCAGCATGAACCTGTAGTGGCTGTCATTGTTCTGTCCTTAAAGGAAAACTCATGAAAAAACAAGAGAAAGACCGTCTGTGTGTGTGTAAAGAGAAGAGAGACGCTCCGATGGCATTGAAGTGTCACACTCTTTTTCCTGGTGCAATGAATGACTGAATGAAACGGCCATTAACATATGAAATAAATGTTAGCAAACTGTCAGAACGAGCGCCATCGTGCTTTAAATGATCTCCTGTGAACTGTGAAAAGCATTGAATTGAAATACTGCGTGTGTTCCTCATACAGGCTGCCCTGAACTTTCAGTGTAACGACCCCAGGGATACCTCAAGTCTCCATACCGTGCACCACCAGCTAGATCTGAAAACACAGACAAGCCACTTAAGCGCATGCTTGTGTGTGTGTGTTCTAGTGCTCTTTTACAGCTTTAGTGCTGCTTCCTATGAAACATAGAAGTACAATAATGTCTTACCTCTAAAAGCCCTTCAAATCATTCAAATGCATCTTTGTAGGTTGAGCTGGTAGGTTAATAAGGCTTCATCAAGTTAAGCATCATTAGTCCAACTCACACTCGAATATAGTGGTTTATCAAGATCACTAACTCTGAATATTAAATCCTGAAGCATAACTAATGATTCCCCAATGATATGTGCACAATTTTTCACTAGAAAAAATCCCACAGATGCACGCTGAATAAAGAACTCGAGCCATATGTACAGACCAGACTATCGGTTAGACTGTAAGAAACCTCATAGAAATCACCCACAAAACACTATGCAACTACATAGTGATGCAATAAAATAGTCAAAACACCCTATCAAAATGCAACTGCATGGCAATATGCTTAAAAAACACCCTAAACACCCTAGCAACAACATACAAATGTACAAAAAAGCACCTAAAACTATCCCTAGCAACCACCCAGCACAGCATTAACAGCAATAAGTTTCACACAGTCAGGAAGCACTCTCATTTTCTTCAGAAAACTGTAAAATCCAGTAATTTGTTCTTGCTGTCAGGGGTCAGAACTACAGCACACAACACACAACTGACAGGCATTAAAACCCAAACACAAAAGGAAATAGAAAAGCTCTTCCGAGTCTTAATGTAGTATAATGCACTGATGCTAATTCTCTCGCTCTGAAAGCCTGAACATGTCATTCGTCATCCCGAGCTCAGAAAAGCATCCTTTATTCCTGCCGGCAGCATATGGAGCCCCGTGATACCGCTTCAGAGGCCAGATCTCAGAGATTTCACCGAGAAAGCACCTGACTGCTGGAGAAATGAAAAGAGACAGAGTTTTTTTGGAGAATAAAGAGAGAACGCTTGTGTTTTAGGATGAATTTTCCCTGAAGGCCGGAGAGACAGGCAGAAAGGTGAGGAACTATCAAACGTGTGAACTACACACGTGTCGAACGCTTTATATGGAGTTAAAAGACCAGGAAGAACATTTCCCCCAAAAAACCTGAAGTAATACTCCCTGTTTCTGTCAGATTTTTTTTTTCAGAGTGAAAAATCGTGTAATGGTACATGCATGTGGAAGAGGAGGACAGAAATCACATTAAGATCGCTGCAAAATGGCAACTTGAAGGGATAAATAGCAACCCTCATGTTGCTTCAAACCCATACAGAACAAGATTATAAGTAAATAATAATACTAAGTTGCTGAAGTGGCTTTCCCCCCCCATTTTGGAGCTTCACTTGCATTGTAAAGAAAGAGCAGTTTGAACATTCTTCAAAACGTCCTCTTTCAAAACATGGAAGAAAGAAAAATTACAGGTTTGGATCAACATGAAAAATGTAAAAAAATATATATTTGAGGGAAAAAGGATATACACACAAATTAAAAAAACTAAAGTCATAAAAAACATTTTCGTTATTTGAAATAAAATAAAACAAATCTCATTAAATCTCTCATTTGAGTTTTTGAGTTTAGTTTAACTTGATGTACTAAAATAACTAAAAAATAAAGAAATATTGAAAAAAAAACTTTAATTTTAAAATAAAAACGGAAATAACAGATTCAAACGGTTAATAAAAAATATAACAGTATCTCAATGATACAGATATAACCCCTCTCTCTCTCTCTTTATATATAGTACAGCTCTATACCTGTACTCTTACTGTATAACATCTGTTGACTCAGTGCCTTTTATTTTCTTCACTCTCAGAAAAAAAAGGTACAAAAGCTGTCACAGGAGTGGTACCTTTTCAAAAGTCACACCTTTGTACCTAAAGAGTCCATATTGGTACCTTAAAGATACATATAAGTACCTAAAGTGTACATTTTAGTACCTAAAAGGTACAAAAGTTTACCTTTTGAAAAGGTACCGCCCCAGTGACAGCTTTTGTACCTTTTTTTCTGAGAGTGTTCTAAGGAACTTCAGGAGAAACATCCGAGGCAAAGTTGATACTTAAATGAACCATTTAAATCTCCAGAGCTATAAAACAGCAACCTCTGAGCTCTAAAATCATCTTCTGGGATGCTACACAAACATATTATATTCATTCTGGTTCTTCCCGTTGGAATTTCTCAGTACAACTGCATTTACTCAAGAAGTAAAACTAGCAAATAGTGAGAAAACTCTGCTGGGCGTCTTTAAAGGAAACGGAGGCTCCAGTCAGAGCAAACTGTGAAGGCCTGGCTGATATCTAACCCTGCTGTTCAAACACACACCAATCCTGCTGTTAGATTCATAGCATAGTGTGAAGCTCGACTACAGCGCGCTGACCCGTGTTCTGCAGAGGAAAACTGATCCCATATCAGCACTCTGAACTCTGACAGAATGATGCGCTCCCAATGGACTGATAGAAATCCATTCTGCCTGACTCAGAAAAACAGCAGTTTTCAGAAACATCTTGCCATTTCTGTGTGCATCAGACGGTCAGAGAGCACGAAGTTTGAGCTTCAGACTATAATAACCCTATAAAAATGACCTTTTAGAATTGAAAAAATATGGATTATATTGTATAATATTGTGACAATTTTATTCAGAGGCCCAAACTGAGCAAAAATATGCAATTTGGTGCAGATGCTGATATTAATATGGCCAAAATGAACAAATGTGATCCTGGAGCACAAAAGCAGTCTTAAGTCGCTGGGGTATATTTGTAGCAATAGCCAACAATACATTGTATGGGTCAAAATTATAGATTTTTCTTTTATGCCAAAAATCATTAGGATATTAAGTAAAGATCATGCTCCATGAAGATATTTAGTAAATTTCCTACCGTAAATATATCAAAACTTAATTTTTCATTAGTAATATGCATTGCTAAGAACTTCATTTGGACAACTTTAAAGGCGACTTTCTCAATAATTTGATTTTTTTGCACCCTCAGATTCCAGATTACAAATAGTTGCATCTCGGCCAAATATTGTCCTATTCTAACAGACCATAGATCAATGGAAAGCTTATTCAGATTTCAGATGATGTATAAATCTCAATTTCGAAAAATTTACCCTTATGACTGGTTTTGTGGTCCAGGGTCACAAATAAACGTTTCTCAAAAGCTTCAGTTTAGTAAGTAAAAATTTTGAAATATTACTAACAATATAAAAGTTATTCTTATGTTTATTTATAAAGCCTATTTCACAGCAAAACAACATATGAACCACGACCTGAAGGTGAACATTTTTACAATTATGCTCAAAGGCCTTTAGTATAAACTGTCAACCAGATGACAGAAGGCATGTAGTTTTGGTTGATCCAGTTTAGAATTCTGCATTACAAATTTGATACAGTCGGCTTAAGACACAATTTATGAACCTCAAAGTCTTTGTTTTCATACCAGCCACTGTGAGTCGTGCGGTTCGGGTGCTGATGGTGCCCAGAATGTCGATGGTGGCCACGCACTGGTACACCCCCTCATCAGGCTTATTGTGTTTGGAGTGGACCACCGTACTGATGAGCAATGAGCCATCCACTAGCTGCCGCTTCCGGTCGTCCGCCACCAGGTTCAGGAACGTCCCGTCCTTCTTCCATTCCACCCTCACCGGAGCGTCGCTAGCGGCTGAGCAGTTCAGGACAGCGGGGAGGCCGCGTACGGCCAGCGTGTCGACGGGTTCGACCGAGAACCTGAACGGGGTAAAACCTCGAATGCCAGAACCTGAGGACAGAGAGAAGAATGCGTTAGAGGATTCACAGACTATGCATGAGAAGCATTTTAGCTTTAGCATTTAAAGGGACAGTTCACCTGAAATTATTCTGTCATCATTCACTCACTCTCAAGATTTTGATTAACCTTCGAAATGCAAAGAGATATTTTAAATAAAACCTGAAAGGGTTTTGTCTCTCCGCCCAAAACTTGGTCATAAAGTCAAAGTCATCGTAATGCGAATCCATATGAATCGAGCAGTTTAATCCAAGTCTTGTGATAAAATACAATCAGGTTTTATTAAAAACATCTTCATTTGTGTTTCAAAGTCTAATGGGGTTGGAACGACATGAAGGAGAGTAAATGGCAATATTAAAATTTTTGGTAGGGCCCTATGAAATCCCAAATTCTGCTTTATTTTTTTCCAAATTCCACTTTTTCTGTTTCGTTTTTTTCCGTTTTAATTTTTTAGACTCTGTTTTAATGGTTAAATTAAATTGTATTAATCAAAAAGCATGTCTAATTAATTAAAATCACGAAACTTACACAACTTAATAGAAATTTCTTAGAAGTTTAACAAAAAATAAATTTAAGGCCTTATATTTTATTTTTTTCTCAAATTTATTTTTTTAATTTTTTTTACCAAATTCTGTTTTCCATTAGTTTTCTGGATTCCATTTGAATGGTTTCATAAAATTTTAATAATCAAAAGAATCTCTAATTAATTGATTTTAGTTAAAAAAAATCTAATTTATTATTAATTTATCTATTTTTTTTCGTCCAGAAATACAGTGTTGCGTGTTTACATTTTTTAGCTAAATAAATTCTGGTAAATATTCCTTAAAAATAATGTTTTAATAAAAATGTTATCATTAGTAGTAGTACTATCATTACATTCAGTAATATATTTGTCACAGTTTCTTCAAGTTAAACCGAACTTTTATTTTGATGGGCTGCTGTGAAGAATTTTGAGTTTATCTTAGTTTTTCTCAAAAGAAACCATAAAATGCTCATGAAGTGACTCTCAGAGCAGTTCTAGAGATTATGTTCATGTGTTCATGTACTGACATATTGAGGCGGCTTAATATTCACAGACACTAGTCCATATCTTGATTTAAGTGTACTGGCCTACATTTGATTTATTCATTCAAAATTTGGCAAATTCCGTGACATTTTGCGTTATACAGTAAATTCCATTTTTATGACCGGATTCCACGAATCAGTCCACATTCTCCACATCGAGGAAATCATAGATGTCCAACTTATATCTGGGTCTTGAAGCAACACCAGTTGCATGCAACAAAAACAGCCATAATAAAACTTGAAATGATACTCTCAAAAACACATGATTACAGCTTTCATCGTGTTCTTTTGTTGGCTAAGTGATTTTCATTCTGAAACATTCATGGGTTAGAGTCCCTCACCTTTGCGCGGTGAAACGGCTAAGCAAAATACTTCTGGGAAAAGTTATAAACCGACATAATTGCCTGACGTTTATAGTGACGTATAATTAAAAAACATAACAGTGTTCAGCCACCAACCCGCATTGTTCAGACAGCACTAATGGCCAATTATCTGCACCAGTGGTGTTGCGCGAAAAACAATTACGGCAAGACTTTCCATAACGTAGCAAGCAAGCTGCTCCGTACTTTAATTACGTAAGAAATGACAAGCTTCTCATGTTCGACACAAAGCACAGAATACATAACAATCTGAGACGGAAGCTAATGTGTTCACCGCTTGCTTGTCACGCAAGCTAATCTGGTCCTAAAAATATGTTTTTACCTGAGAAACAAGATGCAAAAAGCTCAATTACATTTATGTCATAAAGCACTCACAAATTAGCTACTTTAATGACGCCATATAAATCATTTATTGACTCTAAAGTTGAAAAACTAACAATACATCTAGCTTTAACAATTTTAGAAAAACAAGGAATTAGAATCACTGTGGAACATGGAAAACCATAAAAACTTAAAAATCTTGACATGCAAACTTGTGTACTTGCATTTCTCAATCTAAAAAGGGACCATGCAATGCATAGGAAAGCCACAATTGCATGCTAATTGTAATGGAGCCAGCTGGGAAACATTTGGACTAACGTGGCCAAACGCGCCCCTGTTTGTGGCTTTGGATGTTTGTCACGGGCTGGCTGTGAGTAATCGGATGGAGTCCAAAATTGCTGTTGGAGGGCAACAGTGATGCATCCTTGACCCAGAAGCCCCCCGAGACAGCCAGAAAATGAGGCTGCTGGGTTGATAAGTATAAGCTGTTAGCCTTAGTCTGCACACTTTGAGGAAAACCCACTTCAAAACCGCCTCAGTCAGCGAGACCTCTCAGAAAGGGGCAAGGGCTCTCCAGGGAAATGGCACACTGGTGAATGAGAGGAGAAGAGAGAGATACTGACAAATACAAAGACTGAAAGAGAACGAGAAGTGGCCTAGAACGGCTGGGAAAGAAAAGCCGCAGAGATACAAAAACAAAATCAAGGAAATCAGTTAAAGTGTCACATACTATTTCCTTCCTCCTTCAAACGGACCATGACAAGCGTCGGTTTGACAAACTGTTGTATTGTGGGAACACACATGAGTGGCGCAGAGATGAGCATGAAAGGAAACACAATGACGCTCGAGGTGGCGATACAAGTGGGGATTTGCCATCTCTAGGGCCCTTCATGGGTATGTAGCCATCAGCAGAACATTAAACGCTGCAGCTGCACAGCTTCCTTACAATTATTAACCTAAGAAAACAAACCAGTAGACAAAATTATGCTGACATACCATCATTTGGCAGAACTAAAATGTGAAATGTGTTATTTATGCACCTCTACTGGCACCAAAAAGACTTCAAAAATAACATTTTCACGTTGATTCATTCATTTATTCTAAAACCACACAGTCAAAATAAAATTAAAATAAAATAAAATGTAAAATAAAAGTTAAGTAAATTAAATAAAAGTTAAAAAAAAAAAACCCTGCAAGTAATTTTGTAAAAAAAAAAATCAGAAATTGAAAAACTAAGAAAAAACATGACAAAATAGTAGTAGTAGTAATAATAATAATAACAATAACAACAATAATAATAACATACTCCCACAGGAAACAAGCTGTTTAAGTCAATTTTAAATTATAAAATATTTAATTTATAATTATTAAAAATGAAAAAAGTGACTTCATAAGTAGTATATCTGAGTAAACCTAAATAAAATAAAAAGACAAATATGTATATGTGTAGTAAGGCAAATGAGAAGTGCGTCACATGCAAAACATTCAAAATTAGCTGAAAGCAGCACAGTTTTTCAGGATAAATCCATAAACGACTCATTTAGTCATGTCTGCGCATTAAACTGTAATGGAGAATGTTTAATCACCTGTGTCACATTTAAGCACATAAACGAAAACACCATCACAATTCTCACTGAAAACTTTAAGCAGTGTTCACACTGACAGCAGATACGCCACTGGTGGAGGCAGAGTCTCTGTACTGTTGGACACTAGCATTCGTTCCTTCTCGACGGCTAAAGAACACAAGTCATTGTATTTGTATTCTAGTACCTTTGTGCACACAACTGTCCTTCAGCAGCTTCTACTGCATCTCCCTTCATTCCACATTCACTCGAACCGACTCGAATCAGAATGAGAAAGTTTGTGCTTTCATCCGTGTTTTTCCTTTTGTCTTTTCATCTTCCAAAGGCAATGGCTCTTTTCATTTCTACCTGATGATTTCAAACGCTTCAGATAAATCAGAATTTGCTCCGTGAACAAACAGTTCCAAACATCAGACGCATTGAGGGCAAAAGGGAGGGTTTTAATGTTGAAAGCAAAGTTGGAGCTAAAACAAAGTGCAGAACCTGTCATTAGCCCTCAACAGCTTATAAATAGCTGCTCCTCACACTTCTTCACACTCATCAGCCCGTCACATTATGTTGTTTTTCCCCCCACAATTCCTTTCTGTGAGGCATCAGCATGTTAGGATACTTTACCTCACGCTGTGACTCGAGATTATAGATTCAGAGAGAAAAAACGGCACATGTAATCCATCTCCATAAGAGCTGTGGGGATGACAGGTGGGCCGCTTCACAGCAATAAAAGCGGGGCTCATCTGGGTGGAGTGGGGTTCCTCCCTCAGGAGTCCATTTCTACCTCATAAAACATAAAAATTGAGGATCCCAGAGGGCACATATACCACAATCCCTTTCCACACCTATTGGTAACGCCGAGAACCCAATACAATCAGAATCTGGGACAATCTATTGATTGAACCCAAGTGTTTCGCCAACTGCCAACTCAATCAGCTAATTCAATTACCTTATGCTAATTCACAGGCTTCAGTTCTATTTCAACGTACTATATTTACAAAATTTTTGAAACACCCCAAAATACCAGGCACATATTACTCGATTAAACTATATTTTCCTACCTCAGGCATTCAATTTTGGTCCGAAATGGACACCATTTATTTTCAAGCAAAGCTGTCAAGATTCGAAATAATACATGTTAATGTTGAACACATTAACTAAATTATTGCCAACCGCCAACCCAATCAGCTAATTCAGTTAACTTATGGGTAATTCTTGGCTCCAAAGATAATTAAATTTTCAGAAAGCGCCATAACAATAAGTATGAAAACCATAAAAAATAAAAAAAATCCCCTCAGGCATTGAACATTTGATCATTTTCTGATATGGACACCATTTATCTTAAACCCAGTTACAGAAAACACTAAGGTTGTCTGAGCAAAATTACAAAGAAATTGTGTTTTTAGTAAACAAATTAATAAATAAATGAAAATAATAATAATAATAATATATATATACTTAATTTAAATATTATAAATAAAATTTATATATAAAAAATATTTTGCGATTAAATTTTTTTAATATAATTTAATTATACATAATTTTAAAACAATACAGTTGTCTGAGTAGAATTTCAAAGAAAAAAAATAAATCAATCAATCTATCTATCTATCTATCTATCTATCTGTGCTGTCTAACGATTAAAACTCATAAG